TCTAAATTCTAAATGTGACCACTTTTCAGCAGATTTCTCATACGGTTGTGCAAATTCCATCTTACTTAGACCATCTAATGCTGCCAATGAAGTATTTTTCTCTTATCTCTGTGTCAAGTCCTAGAAAAACCTTGACCAAAAGTTTTACTTGGAAAGTATTGCCCTAGTAGCTTTTATCTGGATCTACCTAGGGCCCCAGCTTTATCAGCCATCTCATCCTATGTCAATGGAAAGCAGTTTTAAGTAGCAGTTGGACACTGTTATTACTGTTGCTTTTGGCAGACTTCCAATTTCAAGGTCATGTTGAGGCATTTTCTGTCAACAGATCATTTGTGACAATAAACTCCAAACCATTTTATTGTAAGAAATTTACTAGGCAGTTACATAGGATTTCTGACCTGGGTTTTATAAATCCTTTTGCTGAATCAGTATCTAACATAAATCCAGGTTAAGTAATTAGTGCTACAGATATTGTTTCCAAGTGGAAAGTAGGCCAAACTTTTCTGCCTTCAGGGGTTACATTTGTAGGGAGATTTCCTTTCCTCACTCTGTCTGCATTGTTAGGAAGAATTTGATAATACCTCTTTCCACTCACTGGCATATAAATATAGGTATGGAGCAGGACAGGAATGTTTTCTTAGTGACCTTTCCATACTTGGAGGACTTCCTCTAGGTTGTATATTCAATAAACAACTTGTTTTTTAGTGTTTTATTAGCTTTTTTTTTGAGGAGGAAAATATATTTTAGTTCTATTTTTGAAAGGAAAATGGCTCATATGCATTATGTGTCAACGTATGTGAGGATGTATGAATATCAAAGGTAACTATTTACTAGGTTTGTGAAAGTTGTTCATTTTTAGCTGCCCTTTTATATCATTTGTAAAAATAATTTTAGAATTTGTTAGATTAAAGAAGATCTATCTGGTTTGCAGAATTTTAATAGAATCTGGCCAGTTTTATCAATTCAACAAACATTTATTAGTTTTTTTTTTTTTTAGCGTGTTAAGGTTCTATGCTATATACATTGGGAGACAAAAAGATAAACAAGATGGTCTTTGCCCTTCAGGAGTTTAACATCAATCAGGGGAGCTCCTGTGAATGGGCACACACAATAAAAAAGATTAGGATATGATAAATGCAAATAAAAAAAGTGTAAACAATGGACATGAGTGATCATAGGTCATAGAGGAAAGATTAATCTCTTCCAGATAGGAGCATGAGAAAAAGCTCTCTAAAGGAGGTAGCCCTGTCTAGGACTAAAGGAGAGACAGGATTTCCATAGGCAGAGATAGAGGCAACCTTAAAGCATCTCCTGCTCTCTTCTCAGGAACATACTGGAACCAGCTTGATCTGACTGTTAAGAGCCAATTGCTAAATTTTCAGTGTGAACATTTACACTTTGGAAATCAACAAATGTTATAAATCAGGTCTTTATTTATTTATTTTTGTTTATTGTCTAGATTTAAGAAAATGATGGAGAAAATGTTAATAATATGGATTAAACTTTAAAAATATGTCAAGCATGTATTTCCCCCCTTGGAAAGGCAGTTGTTAAACATTTACCAGCACACTCTTGCCTCTGCCCCAGCATTTTCCACTAGGATTTTCCTGCGAGTCACTCTTGGGTAGATGTTATAGTCAGCAAGGCCACAAATGCAATTGCATGTTATTGTGTACCTAGATAATATTATTCTCTGAGGATTTTTTAGTTAAGTGCTTGTTTATGTATCCGTATAAGCTCTGAGGTATCCTTATTCAAACTCCCATTTCTGCTGATGGATCTGGGATCCTAGAGCCAGACCACATCTGTTCCTCAGAGTTCTTGGGGGGCACTTGACAATGATTGGGAGGTGATTCTCTAATGCTATAGGTTCAAGCTCCCTGGTGTGTTCTACCCTATTAACTGCCAGTAATTAGCATCCCAGTTCCATTTAGTCTATCAATATATCTTAGCTTTTACAGGGAGATATTTACTTTAAAAACATAACAAGATAATAACAAGAGACTCTGGTGGCAAAGAATTGGAAGTTGAAGGGATGCCCATCAGTTGGGGAATGGCTGAACAAGTTGTGATATATGAATGTAATGGAATACTATTGTGCTATAAGAAATGATGAATAGGCTGACTTCAGAAAAACCTGGAAAGACTTGAATGAACTGATGCTGAGTGGAGCAGAACCAGGAGAACACTGTACACAGTAACAGCAACATTGTGTGATGATCAACTTTGATAGACTTAGCCAGGGTTGGGGAACCTGTGGCACTGAGGCCACATGTGGCCATCTAAGTCCTCAAGTGTGGCCCTTTGACGGAATCCAAACTTCACAGAACAAATCCACAAAACAAAAGATTTGCTCTGTGAAGTTTGGATTCCGTCAAAGGGCCACACTTGGGGACCTAGAGGACCACATGTGGCCTTGAGGCCACAGGTTCCCCATCCCTGGACTTAAACTCTTCTCAGCAATACAATGATCTATACTTCCTAGCTGCGTGACCCTGGGCAAGTCACTTAACCCCGAATGACTCGCCAAAAAAAAATAAAAAAGCAATACAATGATCTAAAACAGTTCCAAAAGACTCATGATGGAAAACGTAACCCACATCCAGAGAAAGAACTATAGACTCTGAATTCAGATCAAAGCGTATTATTTTCTCTCTTTTTTTTCTTTCTCATGGTTTTTCCCTTTTATTCTGATTCTTCTTTTACAACATGACTAATGTGGAAATATATTTAATATGACTGTACGTGTATAGCATATATCAGATTACATGCTGTCTTGGGGAGTGGGAAGGGGAGAGAGGGAGAAAAAAAACTTGGAACTCAAAATCTCATAAAAGTCAATGTTGAAAACTATCTTTACATGTAATTGGAAAAAATAAAATACTATTAAGTGGGAAAAAAATGTAGCAAGGACAAAAATGCAAGCATTTCTCCCCGCCCCCCCCATACAACCTCCATCTCTGAGGAGAGAGGGTTCAGATTTGATGCAATTTTTTTATTCAACAAATATTTATTAGGCATTTTCTACATATGTGTAAGGTACTGTAGCACTCATCCATGGAGTTCACTTCCAAATGTGCTTGATCATTATCCACTACTGATAGATAGGTCTGGTCAGATCACTCCGGACTTCACTCCTCACCTTCTGGCTTACAGCAGATTCTGATATGGTCTTCAATTCCTGGATTTGCATGACTTGCTCTCCTCACCTTTTAGTATTCACAGGGTCATAGCCATCTCCAAATTCTTTCACCTGAACCAGGAAAGAATAAATGCAAAAAGGCAAAGCGTAAAGGGCTTTGTCCATGGACCACATGTCAGCCTCAGATAATAAGAGCCTGAGAACATAACCCTTATAACATTTTCTCATTGACCTGAGCTAGAGCTAATGAGGAAAGGACAGACTCAAGGTTACACTTGCCCACTTTTTCTATTGCTATCTTTTCCTTTTCTAGTCATCTATATATCTATACAAGTATTCATTTAACACAAGGTTAAATTAACACACAAATATTTGCATGTAGAGAATGCACTTTATGTTATGTTTCTTCATAAACATCAATTCCCCTAAGAAAGCCCAAATCATGTGGAAATAAAAAAAGAAAAAGAGAATATATAAAATTCCTTTTAAGCCTGCTGACTAGTTTTCATCAGGCTTACTGACTGATTTCCTCAAAACCTATACTTATATCTTTTATACCCTGAATATAGGGGTCAATACTTATTATTTATGATAATGCTAATTCACTTTTTTTTATGTTAAACATAAGAATACTTTTCCCCCACTTATTTAGCCTGTCTTTTGCATGATTTTCTAAGTTCTAAGAAAAATTCCCAGGGGGACTGTCAGTACATGCAGTGGGGAAAAGAAGAACTGAAATGGCTCTCCATCACCAACTCTATTCTTAATCCTTTTTTCTCATCAACTGCAGATAAGTGGCGGTGATGAAGTAGGGAAGTGACAAAAGAGTAGAAGAGAAAAAACTCTCTGGAAGGCTATATCCTCTCTCTGAGTTGGAGAAGTTCACACAGTTTTCCTCTTCCTTTCTTAGTCTCCAATTCTTCACATAATTCTTCCCTTATGTTATCAAATAGACTCTGGTGTCCCCTAAATTAAAAAAAAACCAAAAATCAAAAAACAAAACAACCAACCAAACAACAACTTTGCTTGAACAATTCTTCCTACCATTCGTTCTTGCCTCTTCTCACAGTTAAGCTGTTCAAACATGGTATCCAACTGCTTTATTTATTTATTTTTCACGTGTTGTTTTACTTTCTGATATGCTCATTCTCTTAACTCCTTACAGCCTGCTTCAACACTTGAGACTTGACATTACTTTATGGAAGGTTTGCTGTTAGTGAAATCTAAAGGTTCAACTGAGGGCTTCAGGGATGTGTCCCTACAATTTGAACTTTCTTGGAGTGATTTGTATGTCTTCTTCTCCACCTGTTGTACTGCTGAGGAGAGGAAGAGAATCTGGGAACAAGCCCCAAATTTTGGGGATCATTTTGCTAGCAATGACCCCACAAAACACCCCCCAGGAATAGCTGCTGTTCCTGCTAGTGATTTGGGGTGGGATTATCAGAAGAGTGAGGATAGGGGAAAGAGAGACTACATGATCATTTGCCTGTTAGAAGGCCTGAAAACAGCATTTCAAAAGCAAGTAAACTTTCAGAAGATTAAGGGAATTACTCAAGGAGAAAAGGAAAACCCTGCCCTTTTCCAAGATAGGCTAGAGGAAGCCATTAAAAAGTATACAAATTTAGATCCTGATTCTACCGAAGGGGCAGCAATCCTTAGCAAGTATTTCATTAACCAATTTGCCCCAGATATTAGCAGAAAACTACAGAAATTGGCAGTGGAACCCCAAACATCTCAGACCCAGTTATTGGAGATTGCCTTTGGAATCTTTAACAATAGAAACCTAGTTGCAGCAGAAGAGAAAGAAAGCAGGCAGAGGGCTAGAGACAAAGAACGTGCTTGATTCCTGGCTGCTGCCATGGTCAGGAAAAGGCCTAAGGGTGTTTCTGGCAACTTGGGCAGTGGGAAAACCTGCTTACGATGCCACCAGGAGGGTCACTGGTCCAAGAAGTGCCCCTCCAGGGCACCCCCTCAGAGAAAGCCCAGCAACTTGGGCAAGGGAGGCCACAGGGAGGCCCACTGGTCCAAGGAGTGCCCCTCCAGCGCTCCCCCTTGGAGGAAGCCCCCAAGACGGACACCTCCAGGACCTTGCCCAAGATGTGACTAGGAAGGACATTGGAAGAAAGATTATCCCTGAGGTAGGAGAAGTGATAGAGCAGCCCCCCAGTACCCTGTCCTCCAGTATTCTCAAGACTGGGGAGAACAAGAGAGCCTGGGTCCAGGCAACACTCTCACTTTCTCCATCTCTCTTGCCAAGCCCTGGGTAGAAATTGAGGCTGAAGGTAAAGTTACCCACTTTATCATGGTTATGTTCTTTGCTTTGACCAATTACTCTGGCCCTGTTCGCTCCTTGACCCATCCGGTCATGGGCTATGGATGGAGAACTAAGGGATGTCTCCAGACATACCCCTTCCCCTGCCTAATTGAGAATCTGTTGTTTAAATACTCCTCCCTTATGCTGTCCTCTTGCCTTTCCCCCTTTTTGGGAGGGAACCTGATGGTGAAGTTGGGGAGCCAATTTTCTCTAGTTAAGCCTCCCATCTCCCTTTTCCCTCTGTGTGCCAGACCTCCCCATGTTCCCCCAGAAGTGTGGGAGACAATCTGGGATCAGGGAACTCCTGGGCAAGCTACTCTTGCCATCTCAGCTGTTGTTCACTTCCAAGACCCTAAAGTATTTTCCGATCACCGTATTTGTAGCCCCACTCAGGAGGCTTCTTTGTCCACTGCCTCAGGAGTGCTTAATTTCTTGGGAACTCAAGGCTATAGGGTCTCTTTGAACAAAGTCCAGATAGCATGCCAGTCTGTAAAGTTTCTGGGCCGTTAACTCCCTGTCCCAGTCACTAAGAATCAATTTTAAACTTTTCTAGGTATGGCTAGATTTTGTAGACTCTGGATACCTAGTAATAGTTTTATTGTTAAGCCCTTTTATGATGTTCCTCTGGGTCCTGACTCACTCCCTCAAGAGTGGGGCCCAGACCAGGCCAAAGCTTTTGTGATTTTAAAATCTAAATTGACCCCTGCTGCTAACCCAGTCCTTAGGACCTGACCCTAGCCTGGTTGCTTGTTTTTCAAAACAATTATACTCTGTAGCTGTTGGAAGGCTTGCAAGCCTCCTGGTTGTGGCTGCTTCAGTCATTCTAATTGAGGAAGTCTCTCCTTCAAAAGTGGGAAGATAACTCCCTAGCTAAACTGGGAAACTCATTAGACCACTCATACCCACAAGGCAACTCTCATCTCCACAAAGCCCCCCTTCCCAATATGACTTTCTCAGAAGTTTATGCCACCCCATTTATGCTTGCCATTTCTTTATGGGTCACTGTCTTTATATCAACACCTTGCTTCTCTGCAGGGGTATATTCCCTTACTTGAGAGACAAGCTCCAAGGCCACTAGACAAGTTAACACCCCTGTGGAGGGAGGGCTTGTAAGAGTTTTCACTGATCTTTTGACTAGTACTACCTGTGCAGATACCACTAGTAACAAGAATTTTGGGGAAGAGATGAAACTAAGTGCCAACACATGGCAAGACCCCAGAACTACTGTCTTGGTCACTCAATGTTTGACACCCTACAAGGACTTTGGGGTGTATACCTTTTGATTTTTAGCACTCCCTTTCTCCATTTTCAATGCCACACAGCCCACAGTCTCTAACTTAAGGGTAAAACGTGGATTTTGGGGAAATGTCCTCTGGTCTCTTAAAAAGTGAGCAGACTATCTTATGCCCTAGTATAACCTACAACATGAACATATTCTCTCTAATCTTACAGAGGCTATTCACAATTTGGCAAATGTGACAGCTTATGATCTCTGGGAAATCCAGCAATCTTTAGATTCCTTAGCAAAAGTAGTTCTAGATAATAGAATAGCTCTAAAGTACTTGCTTGCCTCCAGTGGGAGTGTATGTGCTTTAGCAAACACATCTTGTTGCATGTACGTCAACAGCTCTGGAAAGGTAGAGCTCTGCACTGAATGTATTTTGGAAAAGGCTATTTGGATGCAAGAAATTCACAATAACCTCAGTGCTTCAAAATCATCTTTTTCATGGGAGTCCTGTACTGGCCCTTATTCTTATTCCCCTACTGATTATATTTCTTTCTTTCTTTTTTTTTTTTTTTAGTGAGGCAATTGGGGTTAATTGACTTGTCCAGGGTCACACAGCTAGTACGTGTCAAGTGTTTGGCCTGAGGCCGGATTTGAACTCAGGTCCTCCTGACTTCAGGGCCGGTGCTCTATTCACTGTGCCACCTAGCTGCCCCTGATTATATTTCTCTTGTGTTTGTTTGGTCCACATTTACTAAATAGTCTTGCCAGATTCCTTTCTTCTAGGGTCAAAGCCATCAGTTTCCAGATGACTGTTCAGGCTGTATACCAATCTCTAGCCCACTGAACGTGGCATCAGTCAGGTTTTGAAGTCTGACCCTTTGGAACAGGACCCAGAGAGGCAGGGACAGCTCTACGCCCCTTGCCAGCAGGAAGCAGTTTCAGAAGCCGAGACCTTCACCCCTTACACCAAAAGAATTTGAGTCCCATTTGTTTGAGGGGGAAATGATGGGATATGGGCCCATCATTCAGTTTCAGAAGCCGAGACCTTTGCCCCTTTTTGCCAAAAAGAATTTGGCTTCCATTTGTCTACAGGCCCCAGAAAACCCTAAAACTTTTAGGTCCCTTAATGACTCCCCTTATCTTCCTTTGAAAGCCCTACCCCTACATTTTGATCTTATTGATGCCTTTCAAACTTCTTCCTTCTAGTTCCTCTCATTATCTGTTCCCATTTTCTATTCAATCTCTCAGACCTTCCAATCAAAATTCTCACCTAGACCTTTTCCCAGCTCCCGTCCCCCACCTTGACCACCCAAAGTAACTTTAGTGTATATAATATCCACCTTGTCCCCCATTCAAACGCTGAGCCTTTCTCATGCCCAAAAGGCTGAGACTTTCTTATGCCTGCTTATCCCTACGGGCATTACTAATGTTCAGATTCCTTAAGAGTCTGGCCTATATGATTTATCTCTAATAAACCTTTCCTCTGGCTGGAAGATTTGGGTTGAATTCATTCAGGCAGGGCCTGAATGGGCCCTTGGGGTTCCAGCACCCCAAACCTCTAGACCTCATCACTTTTTGGATTCCTCCTCCTCTTTGTCCTTTTAGGAAGCATATAAAACCATTGACTACTCTCTCCCTCTTGAAACTTGTTCCTCCTTTGGCTTTTGTGATGCAGAAACCAACGACAAGATCAGATAGCAGATTAAATATAGGGAATTAAAGAGATATTAAGAGTTAAAGATGACTTTAAAGTTTCTAGACTTGGAGACTGAAAGAAGGATAATGCCTCTAGCAGAAATAAAAGTGACCCTAGTGTCCAAACCAGAGATGGGGAAACTACAGCCTCAAGGCTGCATGTGACCTTCTAGGTCCTTGGGTGTGGCCTTTTCACTGAGTCCAAGTTTTATAGAACAAATCCTTTTATTAAGGAGATTTGTTCTATGAAGTTTGGATTCAAGTCAAAGGGCTACATTTGATGACCTAGGGGGCCACAGGTGGTTCCCCACCCCTGGTCCAAACCAAAATTGTGAAGTGATTTAATCGGGTATATTCATTTTGCTTATCATTGTTAGAAGGATACTTTGCTTCAAATGATACAATAACTAAGGCCAGAAAGCAAATTGCTCTGCCACCAAGCCAGCTTCTAAGCCTACAATGGGTTATAGACATTTTAGGGGAGAACCAGAAGAAGAAACAAAGGAGTGGGATAGAAAGTGCCTGCTTATGCTCAGGGATTTCCTCCTGTACCATGACACAATCAGGATTTTTCCTTCTTTTGCTAATGGAGGTAGGAGCCACTATATAGTGGTGAGTTTTATCTCTGTGCTTGGTTTGGAATTCAATCCAGTTGCATTCATTGAGACCCTGGGAAGATCATTACTACATCTATAATGGGAGAGCAGAGACCAATTCCCAATTTTTCAAAGATTCATGAGGTTAACAGCTATAGCAATAAGCCATCAAGATGCAGCACCTTTTGTGTGCATCCCACAGGCAAATTATTAATCCACCATATCCTGATTCCCTTGATCAACCAAGAGGGCAGACCTAAGCTAGATTTAGCACTGTCCATTCCTAAGGTTTTTGAAGGCAGTGAAGTGATTTGATTGAGGTCATGTATATTTGGAGTGTTGGCTGTTAAAATTTCTTTTTAATATCTCATTGCTTTTAAAATGTTCTTGTTCTCACTATAAAATGAAACCATCTGATAAATACTGACTGATTTAAAGGGAAGAAATTTAGTCATTAGGGACTTCGGAACATTGTAATAAATAATTTTGAACCCAAATCTGGGAAGTTTCTGGGAGGTGGCTGTTTGGGGATATTGTATCATGTGAAGAGCATCTGGATGCTGATTCATGTGAAGAAGAAACTGCACATTGCTACCCTCTGGAGGGAATTTACAGCTACTCTGGTAGATGCCATAAAGCTGTCTAACGTCTGGAAGTCCACAAATCCCAAGCCAGGAATGGAGATAAAATTCATAGCTGCATAGTTTCTTCTACTTCCTTTTTCAAAAGTCTGCAATGCAAGGTATAAAATAAAACTTTAATACCTCACAGCATAGAGAAGAATCCCCCAGCATCAGAAGCCATTTTATCCCCCTTTACTTCCTTTTTAATTCCTTTCCATATCTCTAGGCCAAGAAGGCCTGGGTGTGTGAGTAAACTGATGCAGTGTTATGAGCCCAATAATCTTGGGGTGTGGTTTGTTTTATGTTTTCTATTATACTAGAAAATCTCTGTGATAGAGAAAATTAAAGAGGATGAGCTCAATTTTGGACAGGCTAAGTTTGAGGTAATGGCAAGATATTCAAATGTCTGAAACGTAGTTGGAGATATAGGATTCTAGCATTTATGAAAGATCAAGTGTGGGTAGATTTGATTTAAGATATAGATTTGAGAGCTGTCTGCCTAGAGGGGCAGAGTAGAGTGCTGGACTTGAATCCAGGGAGACTTGGGTTTGAATACTGATTCTGACACTGCCTAGCTGTGTGTTCATGGACAAGTCGCTTAAGCTGTCTTAGCTTTCTGATTTTCTTCATCTGTAAGATGGGGAGGAAGATAAGATCTTAGTTCTAGAGCTAAGAGGGACCTTAGGACGTCCTCTAGGACACCTTCTGCATTTGACCTATTAGAGAATTTGAGACCTATAGAAGTGAGATGTGTTGCCGATGGTCATTCAGATAGTAAATGGCAAAGCCTGAACATCATTAGTACTTGCCTCCTAGTATTATTGTAAGGCTCACATGAGATAATATTTATGAAATACTTTGTAAGCCAAAAAGTGATATGTAAGTGCTCATTGTCGTTGCTGCAGAGATGAAGCCACAAAATGTAAAGGGCTCACCAAGGGAGTATTTTTAAAGAAATGGGAGCAACTCTCTCTTTCTCTCTCTCTCTCTCTGTTTCTTCTTTCTCATTGTTTCTCCCTTTGGTTCTAATTCTTCTTTACAACATGACTAATATGAAATATTATTATACTATTAATAATATTATTATATGAAATATTTAATATGAATGTGTATATAGAGCCTAAATCAGATTGCATGCCATCTTTGGGTAGAGGGAGGGGAGGGATAGGGAGAAAACTTGGAACTCAAAATCTTATGGAAGTGAATGTTGAAAACTAAAAATAAATAAAAT